AATGGTGGCGCATGCCTGTAGTCCCAGCTACTTGGGAGGCTGAGGCAGAAGGATCACTTGAGCCCAGGAGTTTGAGGTTGCTGTGAGCTAGGCCGATGCCATGGCACTCTAGCCCAGGCAACACAGTGAGCCTCTGTCTCAAAAAAAAAAAAAAAAAGCAGAGACCAATATCGTACAGAAGTAATTTTATCAGCACAGTTTAGTAAGTTTTTAACAATTAACTGTTGTCATTAGAGCATTTGTTTTAATTTTAAGTCATTCCATATAAGTTGAACTGTGTCTCATCTGAGAATAGGGTCCTAATACTCCACAAAAAGGTTTTCTTTATATTTTCTCATTAGCTCATTTAGTGACTATATTGAAATATATCATCTTAATTGTTGTTAGGGACTTGGTTTGCTGACATTTCAAATCATATTTCAGGGTGATTATCTCAAATAGTTGTTTCTTTTTAGTAAAAAGGTTCTCAATAAAACATTTAATATTAAAAGGTTAAAAATATCATTACTCATAATTACCTCTCAACTACTTGGGGACTGATTAATAGCACTTAGTGATTATCAAAGTCATTTTAACAACTCATCTATCTTTTAGAACGATAGCTAAAAGCGCCTTCATCAGAGTAAGCAAGAAAAACATGACCAAATAAAACTCAAACTAAGACAAGGTTTTCTACTTGAAAATTCATAGTGAAAAGTTTTAGAAGAGTAAAACTACTGGTACTGGAATACAGCTGTGAACCAAACAAAAATCGCTTCCTCCAAGGAGGATACCTTCTAGCAAATCTACCCGTTTTTATTGGTAACAAAACTTCAAAGAGATCACTGTGATAAAGTATCAACTGAGTACAGCCCTAGGGAGGTAAGGGGAGGGGAGGAGAAATCAACTTGGTCTAAAGTACTGCTTAATACTTTTTGTTCTTATTACTCATAGTTAAAACATAAAGGAAGTTTTAAACAATAAAATAATTTATATATTCCTCTGCCTAAGCTACCTGGTTCCCCAAATACTGTGCAAATCTTCCTTTTACAACATTCCAGGATGTTATGTTCTATTATATTCTCCCTTGAAATTTTAATTTTCGACAATAATAATAGCTACCATTTAATAAGTTCTTGCTATGTTCCAGGAATTGTAAAATGCTGAGCAATTTTCAAACATTACTCAATTCAATCTTCATAACAGCCATATGAGAAAAGTATTATTATCCCATTTTTACATGATGAATCTGATACTAAGACAACTTGCCCAAGGTCACACAGCCATCATTTGATTAAACCTAATATGCTAAAGCTCTTATCTACAGCACTAATACTTAGAATTCAAGAATACTTTAGAGAGTAAGTCAAAATCAACATGCATAAAATTATGAAAATACAGAGTAATAATTTACCTCATCAAATTCTTCAGTCATTTTTCGAATTATCTCAGAGTTCTGCATATGTCTAAACATTTCTGCTGTGACAACTCCTGAAATTTGTAAGTGTCAGAAGTTAACAAATGGTGTGATGAAAAAAATAAAGAGAACTTCTAAGTCACTCTCTAACACTAGGAAGTCTACAGTCACACAATAAAGGCATACTTCTTCATCCTATGATCTTTACCATGATACTCAAATCTATAAATAAAGCACAAACAAATGCTACTCTTGACATGCACAAGAAAACAGCCCCACTCTTCTGACAGCTATCTTTCTTCCTAGCAAAATTAATTTTAGTCATTTCTACTTGACTTGCATTACTCATGCTATAATGTTTATACTGGGGCTTTGCCCTATTGACATAAAATATGTGTCATCAAGGGTGATACAGCATCCAGGATAACATTTAAAACCTTGAGGGTGAACCTGAAGATAGAGAAAAGAGTAATAGAGTTCACTTTAGCCAGGCTTCTTTATTAAGCCCTGTTGTGTGTATCCTAACATCCTCTAAAAGGGCAGTTACTTGTAGTTCCCACCCCTCTTGAAGCCTGTAATCTAGTTGGAAGTTAAAAATAAATAATAATAGAAAGAAAGCAGGTAGGAGGGGGAGGAGGGGATGGGCAAATTCACACCTAATGGATACAATGCACACTATCTGGAGGATGGTCATACTTTTAACTTTGACTCGAATGGTACAAAAGCAATTTATGTAACCAAAACGTTTGTACCCCCGTAATATTCTGGAAAAAAACAGAAAGAAAAAGAAATAAAGTATTAAAGATAGTACATAATAAATGCCCTGATGAGTGGCAATGCCAAGAAATACTATAGTTCAGACTGCCCCCTCAAAAAACCCCCCACATATGTTAGGGAATCAAGAGCTATTTCAAAGAGAAACAATTTAATAAGGAGCTTTAGAATCTTAAAGGAGGATATGAGGGGGGAGGAAAAAAAGGGTACACAGTAGAAATAGTAAAAATCAGCCAGGTGGAGATCAGACATCATAAAAGGAATTTCTAGAAAAAAGTTATGTTAGGAGACAATGCAGGAAGAAGATGTACATGAACTTTCACGGATGGGGCATCATATTTACCAAAAAAGCTGGAGGAGGGAGGGAGAAGAAAGAATAAATGTAAAAAATGGACTCTTAAAACACCGTATTTTTATTGCTGGATTATTTATTTGCTTACCAGTCTAATCACCAGGAATATCGTAAATATAGTAACATCTAAAAGAAGAATGTCTTGGTACAGGAAGATGAGATTTATAAATAAGAATTAGATATAACTAATATATATTTTCAATTGACCAGAGCTATATTTTGTATATGCATACATTTGTGTGCATGTGTGTGTACACATAGCTGTATAATCCCTGTTTCATAGATGAGGAAACTAACGCTTAAGAGAAATTAAATAATTTCTCCAAAAAAAAAAAATTTTCTCTGAAATTATTCGCCTAAATCATGCTGCCCCCCCATAGGTGAGATCAGTATCTAATGGTGCCCTGGAAGAGTCCTTACTTATCACAACCTTAAAGAAACAAATAATTGTTTTTAAAAAACTGACAAATTCAGAAGGAAGCACTATTTCTTTGGCTCAAGAAACACTCTCTCAAAAACCTGTTGAAGGGCTTTTCCTTTTAATCTAGAATCACATATATCTCTTCAAAACTTTACCATACTTTATACTCAAATATTGTACACTTAGCAACGCTAAAGAAGCAAAAGTAACTCAATCTCTGAAACAATTTCTATGAAATAAACATTTACATATAAATAAATCTCACAGCAAACATATTGTATACATTTTGACAATGCCCCATTTCTAAAGCTCCTCCCCTTCTCATAAACCACATGACAACCAGAGACAAAAATGAGCAGAAAATGACATCAGAGCAGAAAAGAAAGTAGCTGTCACAAACTCTATGCATTTAATTCCTGAGGCAGGTGTGAAGCCACCATTAGAACACTAGGCCAGAGCCCACTGCCGTAAAAACATGGGAGACGTGAAGCAAGACTGCTAAAAACTGGTAAATTGAAAAGTGACAGCTAGAAAAAACAAGGAAATAGCATTGGTGGCAAAATCACCAACGGAGCAGTCTGGAGCCATTCGATGTGGGGCCAAACATCCCTGCATGCTTCAACAGCCCTCCAAATCATCATTGTATTACAATAACATAACTTATGCTCATAACCACCACCCTGAGTTCACAGGAAAAATTTAATTCTGTCAAAATAATTTCTTGTTCATAAGTACCTAATGACCTTAACTTTGATTATAAGGTAAATTCCCCTTTATAGAGATTGCTTGATTCCAAATATAATGGCGATATTCAAATATATGTGACAATTTAAGTTTTCAACACCTTAAATTTTTAGAAATCTTGACAACCTGCTTTGTAACAAGGTATATCCAAATGTTGAGTCAGCAAGCTCTTATCTTATAAACAAATTAATGCCAGAAAAGGAATGAATCTAATAGAGGAAATATTCTTTGTGGCCTTGTTTTAAGACTATAATTCAGAAGCCTAATTAAGAAACTCAAACTGATGGTACTATACTACAAAAAGGGAAGAGTGAAGATAAAACCTAAAATTTCAACTCATCAAATTACTTCTGGCGCCTATTCAGTTGTTCTGTACTCGATCTTCTATTTGCAAAGAATCTAACACCCCGCTACCCAATGTAAAATTTCTCTGCCTTTTAGAAGAACTGGCAATTTCATCAATACCTTACTTAACTTAACTTAACTTACTTACTTACCTACTTACTTACTTACTTACTGTTATTCATGGCACTTTTTAATTCCCTACACTTTACAATTCCCTGCCATTTGAACCTGTATATCTTCATTATCTTCCTCATCCCTTCTTAATCCATTTCTTTGTTCTTAAAACCAGATGCTGAAAGTAGGAAATATATCTAATAAAAGTAACATAACAATTATAAACTACTACGTTTTTAGATAACTTTCACATATGAATACATCTTTGTCAACAGACTCTGTTTCTTACTTTGTTCTTTGCTCTTTTTTCCTTATACATTTTGTACAGATATAACGCAAATAATTCAATACCTTAGCATTATTTTCCATGTAAAGTGTTAACATCTCTTTAGATGGAACAAAGAAAGAAGTGACTATTTGAGATATTCTGCCTCCAAAATAAACATATCTTACCTTTACAGCCTGAACACTGAATAAAAAAGTTGATAAGGTCAAGAAGTGCTATATCTCGGTCATGCTTGTATGATTCTATCCAATCATCTACCACCGACTATGGCAGAGGGAAAAAAATAAAATCATTAGCTTTTTCTAATGTTCTCAGAATCAATTAAGTCTGATAAAAGTCGTAAAAATTAACATTATATAGTATCACATTGCTTTAAATTAATATATGTACTTATATATTAAAATTTAAATTACAATTTTAACAATGAAAAAGAATCAAATCCAATTTCCTGATAGCTCAAAATGATTATTTTGCATTAAAAGGAATCTGAAAACTATGGAACTTAATTCTATGAAGTGTAATTACTTATTATTTCTTAGTGACATTAAACACATCCTAGAAAATATTAAAAGCCACATTCATGTCTCTCATTGGCTAAAATATTATAATAAATATTTAAATATTAAAACTGCAATGTAATCAAAATTTTAAAAAATTTTAAGTGAATACCCAGGTTAATGAGGAAATACAGAACAAAATAACAGAATTTTGTTCAACGGTCAGCAATAGTCCCATATTAATAAGAAAGGCAAAAAAAGGTCTAAATAAAGGTCAAAAGAAAGTAAGACAGTTCTAATAATGTTAGATACCAATATTCCTGGATTAATCCACAGATTCAGAGCAAGCCCTATCAAAATCTGAGCTGGATTCTTCACAGAAATTAAAAAGTTGATCCTAAAATTCTTATGGTAATACAAGGGACCCTGAATAGTGAAATCAATCTTGAAAAAAAAAGGTGAAAGACTCAAATTTCACAATTTCAGAACTTACTACAAAGCTATATTAATCAAGACAATGTAGCACTGGCATAAGAACAGACATGTAAATCAATGGAATAAAATTGAGAGTCCAGAAATAAACCCTTATAGTGATGGTTATTTGTTCTCAACATGAACGCCAAGACAATTCGATGGGGAAAGTAGAGTCTTTACAAAAAAATGGTGCTGGGACAACTATATATCCTCATGCAAAACAATAAAGTTCTAGCCAGGCATGGTGGCACATGCCTGTAGTCCCAGCTGCTCGGGAGGCTGAAGCGGAAGGATTGCTTGAGCCCAGGAGTTTGAGGTTTCTGTGAGCTAGGCTGATGCCACGGGCACTCTAGCCTGGGCAACGGAGCGAGACTCTGTCTCAAAAAAAAAAAAAAAAAAAAAAGAATAAAGTTGGAGTCTACCTCACACCATACACATAATACTCAACTCAAATGGATCAAAGATCAAAATGTAAAAGCTAAAATTATAAAACTCTTAGGAGAAAACAAGTATATCTTTGTAACCTGGTATTTAGCAAATTCTTACTAGTTACTACTCATCCAAAAGCACAAGCAACAAAAGAAAAAATGAATTCAACTTATTAAAAATTAAAGCCTTTTGTACTTCAAAGGATTTCATCAAGAAAGTAAAAACACAACTCACAAAATGGGATAAAATATTAGCAAATCATAGATCTGATAAGGGATTTGTGCCTAGAATAATAAAAACTCTTACAACTCAGTAAATTTAAACAAAGAAGCCAAACAACCCAATTAAAAATATGGCAATGGATCAGAATAAACAGTTCAATAAAGAAGATACACAAATAGCCAATAAGCACGTGAAAAGATGCTAAAAGTCATTAGCCATTAAGAAAATACAAATCAAAACCACAATGAAATATGACTTCACACACACTAGGATGGCTATCATAAAAAATACAGACAACAACAAGCATTGGCAAAGTTGTGCAGAAACAGAATGCTCAAACACTGCTGGTGGGAATATAAAACATGGCGCAGCCACTTTGGAAAAACAGTTTGGCAGCTCCTCAAAAGGTTAAATATAGAGTTACCACACTGCAGTTCAACTCCACATATACATCACCCAAGGGAAATGAAAATGTATGTCAAACCAAAAGCTTATACAAGAATATTCAAAACAGCATTCATTACTGACAATAGCCAAAAAGTAGAAACAACCCAAATGTGCATCGAGAGATGAACAGATAAAAAAAAATGTGGTATATCCATACAACAGACAATTCTTTGACAATAAAAAGAAATAAAGTTATAATACAAGCCTCAACACGGATGAACCTTGATAATACTATACTAAGTCAAAGAAACCACTCATAAATAACCACATACTATATGATTTCGTTTATATGAAATACCCACAATAGGCAAGGTTATAGAAAGCAGATCAGTGGTGACCTAGAGCTGGGGATGAGGACACGAGTGCTGAAGTGCATGAAGTTTCTCTCTGGGATATTGAAAATATTCTAAAATTAGATTGTATTGGCTGGGCGCGGTGGCTCACGCCTGTAAACCTAGCTTTCTGGGAGGCTGAAGCGGGACGATAGCTGCAGCTCAGGGGTTCAACACCAGCCTGAGCACAGTGAGACCCCATCTCAAAAGACAAGAGACTAAAATTAGATTGTGATGGTGACTATATAACTCTGTGAATGTACTAAAAAACCACTGAATTTACACTTGTAAAGGGTGAATTTTATAATATGTGAAATGTATTCCCGGAGTTATTTTTTTGAAAAATAGGACAGAACTAAAAAATAAAAGTAGTTATTATATTCCTTTGGGGACAGAAAGGGCAACCACAAAACTGATTAAAAAACCAATTTTTCAATAAAGCAAATCAATAAACTCTGGAGGATAAACAACAGCTAATGTAAAAAACAAAGGGTCAGAAGGGGAGAATGTTTGCAAGTTATACACCAATAAATATGGAACATAGGTACAATGACTAAAACGTCTAGAATTTAATGTACAAAAAGGATAATATGATTACACAATAAGGAAAAATTAAGGAAATAGTATCTAAAAATTACCTGGCTCAAATAGACTGACTGGAATTATTCTAAAACTTTACTTAATTGCTACATTTGAATCCTTTTCTGTATTTTACAACATCTTATTTATGTTAACCAACATAATTTATAAAAGAAACATGTTTAAGATTCTTCCCAAATATGATATAGGCAATAAAATAGCAAGAGAATATATCATGGGACTGTGATGATTTTTAAAAATGGCCCTAATTTTTTTCACATTGCTTCCCAGTAAGTAAGTCTATGTCTCCTTCTCTAGAACAGAGTGCTTTCAAAATTGGGTCATAGATGGCCATGCAGCATCTGCATTGGTCTCTTGGAGCACTAGCTAACTGGACACTACCTCTCAGGACACTCTCTCTCAACCCAAAAGCCACACTGTAAGAAGACCAAGCCACATAGAAAGGCCATTTGTAGGTACTCCAGGTAATATCTCTGGCTGAGCCCAGCCTTTGAGTTACTACAGACTAGGCAGCAAACACGAGTAAAGAAGATTCCAGATGATTATAGTCCCTAACTGTGTTAGCACCAGGCATCCAAGCAGCTCCAGCTAAAGCCCCAGCCATTATGGAGCAGAGATAAGTCATCCCTACCTAGTTCTGTCTGAATTCCAGACCTGAATCATTAAACATAATAAAATGGTAATTGTTTCACATCATAAGTGTGGGGTGGTTTGTTATGCATCAATTATAACTGGAACAATGGCTACTCTTATCAATAAAGACACAAAAATACGTAATGAAATCTTACAAAGAGACTACCATAAAACATTAAAAAGTAATTCATGAAGATCAAGTACAGTCTACACTGTATTTTATTGCAGAAGAATACAAGTCTTCTATAATAAAAATAATGCAACCTATCATATTGAAATATGTTTAGATTTTTTAATCAAATAGTATGTTGAGAACTTATTCAAGAAAATTCAATGTCTATTATAATTAGGGGGTGTACACATACTTTCTCCTTTCTTAAAATATATAAGAACTATTTTTTTAAATCTCTAGTTTATTTGTGGTTATGCCCCCCTTTTCAATCTTTTTTTTTTTAAGAGATTGGTTAGGTCTTGCTATGTTGCCCAGGCTGGCCTCAAAATCCTGGTTCAAGCAATCCTCCTGCTTAAGCCTCCCAAGCAGCTGAGACTACAGGTGTGTACCACCACACCCAAGAACTATTTTTAAACCAATAGCCAGTCTTTTATTTATTGACTCTCACTTATAATTATTTAAGATAGGTATATCCTGGGGATGCAAAAAAAAATAATACATGATCCTTCATCAAGGAATTAACAATTGAGAATCTAAGTCGGACATATATGTAATAATAATACAATATGCTAAGCACTGTAATGGGAAGATAAGAGTAAGAAACACATGGGAAAGGAGAAGGAGACAGTGTCTGAGAATGTTTTTCAGAAGAGTGAGATTTGATTCACCTCAGTACTATTTGATATGAAAGGGAAGAAAAGAAAACTATTCCAGACAACAAGAAAAACAAAAAGGCCAGCCTGGGGGCACAGTACTTACTACGGCTAGAAAATATAAAGTATGCCATAAGGAAATCTGGGCTAGAACTTTTAGATTAAAAAAGAACCCTTGAAAGTTTCTAAAGAGGGGACTTCCTCAATCCAGTTTGGTTTTAGAAAGGTAACAAATGGGAATACACATAATAAACTGGAAGTGGCGAGAAGATTCAGGGAAATCAATGGAGATACTATAGACATTCCCTTTCAGGGGGAAAATACATTCGGAAACAGAAAAACAGATGGCATAGAGGTACAATCTTAATATATGACAAACCATAAGCAACACAAAAATAAGGAAAATGTTCATTTTTTAACATGAATAAAAGAATTAAATATAAAGCTAAACTATCATATTCTATTAAAAATTTTGATGAGCCAAAAAGTTAAACAAAAACCCTACAGACTGGACAAAAATAGAATAGCCTAATTAGCTGTGGCTATAAGCTGAGATTTCTGATGGCTATGGGCTGAATGGCTGTTACCTCAAACTTCCTATGTTGAACTCTAATCAGCAATGTGATAGTATTGGGAAGTATAGCCTTTAGAAAGTGATTAGGTCATGAGGGCAATGTACTCATAAATAGGATTAGTGCCCTTATACAGGAGGTACCAGAGAGCTGCCTTGCCCCTTTTACCAGGTGAGGACACAGTGAGAGAGTGCCATCTATAAACCAGAAAGCAGGCTCTCACCAGACACTGA